GAAATGGAAGAAAGTGCTCATTTTAATTTAGCACACGCAAGCAGCCGGCACCACGAAGAATGTTTTTCAAGTCCATACCCCCTCATCATGGTAACTACACGCATGAGTTCATATGATGCTGCATTTAAGCTGAAGGCATCGATCTGGCAGTAAAGGAGGGAAACAGCGCTGCCGCACGTGAGCTTGGCATGAATGAATCCATGGTTCGGCGCTGGAGACGGCAGCGGGAAGAACTCATTCAAGCCAGCTTCACCCGGGGATGACGACAGCAACACGGACAGCGACACTGACATCGCCACAGAAAAGGTTTGTGACGAAGCTCTTCTGAGGCTGTTCAGCTCCGACCCTGAAGAAGAGGACTTTAATGGCTTTAGGGCGCAGGAGGAAGATGAGAGCGAATGACTTCTTCTGGTAGGCAAGTGTGTTTTATTTACTAACCAGGCATGTTTAGTGTGCAGTTTTTATTTTCTAATCATCCAGAAATATGAATGCTATCAGTACTGTTCGCTTTTCTACACTTGGAGGCACGTTGACCCGTGTTTAAAATCTGTTTTGTTGAACTAAAACAACAAGGAAAAACCTCAGTGTAGCGTCTTTCTGTCTGATTATCTTATGTTATGGCCGTACATGCGCTGTGCGCCGGAGACCCGCATGTGGCTGCTGCGCCGCGGCTTGTGTTTGAGTGCGGCGTGTGTGTGTGTGTGTGTGTGTGTGGAAAACCTTTGTTTTTGCTGGTGCGGCTTATATTGAGGGGAGCTCTATAGTCCAGAAATTACGGTATATAGCACATTTCAAACACAGAGAAATTCTACGTGCTTAAGAGAAATGAGTTGATGGAATAATCAACACACACACACACACACACACACACACACACACACGGTTACGTTTCTAATGCAGAGCTTCATCTCCTGACTCTGTAGCGGACGGTGATTATTTTATTCTCACAGATTCTGAATAATCAGCTATGAATCTATCCAAATGTTACTGAATATTAACAGGAAAGAACTACCATATTTTCCGGACTATAAGTCGCACTTTTTTTCATAGTCTGGCTGGTCCTGCGACTTATATACCAAATTATGTATACCGCGGTGCTGCGGGCCGGCTCAGAACCAGGAATGAGCTCCCCTGCCCCGCCATCACCTGCTGGAGACCCTTGCACACTGCTGCGGGTCGGCTCCGGTCCAGCTTTCAGCTCCTCTGCCCCGCTGCGAGGGTTTCAAACACCGCCATCACCTGCTGCAGCCTGTGGCGGGGTGCTGCGGGCGCTCTCTCCACCTGCTGGGAGGGTTTGAAACACCGTCATCCTCTGCTGGAGACCGTGGCGCGCTGCTGCGCTCTGGTTGTTTATTCTGTTAGTTACCGGTACTTGTCTTGCAATGTGAAACGCTTGGTCTAAGATTTTGTAAAAAAATAAAATAAAATTTCGACCCCAAATGCGACTTATAGTCCAGTGCGACTTATGTTTTTTTCTTTTTCATTATACATTTTATGGCGGGTGCGACTTAGGCGCTCGACACACGGGAGGCGACATCGCCTCTCCTCCATTCTTTTTCAATGAGACATGCGCGACAAAGCGATAATCGCGGGTCTCTCTCCTACCAAGCGAAACGAAAAAAACGTGTGTGTGAAATGTTGCGCTCGTGCACGTGTCGTGCACAGGCGACCCAGCGACGCGATCCCAGAAAGTTGAAATATTTTCAACTTTCATCGCTGTCGCTCGGACGAGGACCAATCAACGGAGGTTTCATTCACTGACCAATGAGCGGACAAGATGCTCCGCACACCTCCGAGCAAACATGGAGGAGAAGTTGATTATTATTATGTTTTATAGTAAAATCAGAAGTGAGATTTCACATAACTCTAGCAGCACCTTGTGAAACATCATATCTACCGCTTTATTAACTCTGAACCGCTTAAATAACCTTAATTCCCTCCAACCTGACACAGCCAATCAACACAACGGACGTTTCGATTTCACCATGGAACAGAAGGCGTAGACGGCTTTGCCGCTGCCGCGGATCGCCTCCCGTGCGACAGGTAATAAAAGCGACAGAGACAAATTTCGCTGATGGCGGTCGTTTGTCGCCTCCCGTGTGCAGAGCCCCTTATGCTCCGGAGCGACTTATACTCCAGAAAATTCGGTAAGTGTAACTAACGAAATAAGAAATACACGTCACATGTTTCAACACCACGTCACAGATATGGTTGCCAAGGAAACAAGCTAAAGTAACTGAGTTATTATCTATAAATAGAACTGCACATTATTGATTAATGTCTCCTTAAACCTTTGAGGCTTTGGCTCTGTTTTTGGCGCTTCAGCAGATATATTTTGGCGCTTTTGGCTGACCATAACCCACTGGTTTTCCTCTCTGAGATGTATAACCACAATCAAAGACTCATGCGATGGGCTTTGAAATTGCACGATTATCATCTTGATATTAGGCACAAGAGAGGTACAGTCAACATCTTAGCTGATGCTTTATTGAGGCTTTAGTAGTGTTGTCATGGTGTGAAAATGTAACCTCACGGTTATTGTGACCAAAATTACCACGGTTTTCTGTATTATCGCGGTATTTTTTTTTAAACGTGCTACATTTTCACACAATTAAATAAACCCTGTATGTCGGGAAATATTGTACTCAGTTTGTGTCTAAATTTAGCCTAAAATGTGTTATTTTGTAATTATGTTGTTTATTTGTTTACATTTTTTCCCCTTTAGTCTTTAAAATACCAATATTTGCCCATAACTCCTTATTTTTTGTCTGTTTGATGTCATCATTTAAAAATATTTGATCAGATGATACTCAGTACTCAAGTAGCCTTCTAATCAGATACTTTTTTACCCGTACTTGAGTAATAATCCCTATATCAGGAAAGTATCGTCCTCGGTTTGTGTCCTTCCAGTGAGCTTTGCAGATGTGGGAAAATGTCATCAGGCAGTAATCGTTGTTAAATTCATAATTATTCTCGGAGAGAGACCAACTCTTATCTGCCCCTGGGAGCCCCGTAATGCATAGCGTCATTTCAACATGGCGGTGTCCGCGACACGGTTTATATGCAGGTAGCGGCGCTGCGGCTGCTTTATATAGCGATTCGTTGCATTCTCCCTCAACCCAAATCCTCGGATCACGCATTTTAACTAAAACGCTAACATTAGCTTGCCTTGCGTTGACTGTAGAGTTGTGGGTGATGGTCACGCAGATGTGTCATGAGATTTGAAGCGTTGCTGCCTTTCACAGACACTTTTTCTGCACGTGCTGCAAACAGGATAGCCGCCTTCTATCAGCTGTCCCTCGGCATTCTTCAGATATCCAAAAGATGCCCGTACTTCCCACTTTGTCTTCTTTGAGGGATAATAAATGTCCTGAGCGCTGCCGTCTCCTCCTTTGGCCATTATTTCAGCGTTAGCTTCAAGAAAGTTCTGGTTGTAAACAACAAAGTGCGCTTGTGCCGCCGGCAACTTCAGCAGATGATACGGTGGCTGGTAAGGGTCACCGCGCCTACACCGCAGCCACGGTAACCCACCGAGATAATATATTTGTTTTAAAAACAAGACGGTTATTATTATTGTCAACTTTTTTACCAGGGTTTACCGCTACACCGGTTACCGTGACAACCCTAGCTTTCGTTTGCCTTTCAGAGTTTCTCATGTCCCCCTAACCTTTTGGTTTGGATTTTGAGGGGGTAGGTGTTATGGCCAGTGGCCTTGTGTGTGCGTGTGTGTGTGTGTGTGTGAGCGTGTGTGTGTGTGTGTGTGTTTTTCTTCTTTCTTGTTCAGTTACTGGTGAGCGGCAGGCTACACCCTGGCAAAATGATGTCGATAAGAGTCCGAAACTTCAGTAATGGTAAATTCTGGGTGTACCACACAACCCTACACCTGACACACCACTGTGTTGTTTCCAGATTATTGCTGTTCATAGGGAGGCAACAGCTGTAACGTGTTACAACCAGAGCTACCAGAAAACCCTTCCCCACTACCAAACCTGCCGTTGGAATACTGTCTGCATGATTACAGCACAAGATGATAATTTTGCTCAAAATCTCTTTATCGGCCCCACTGATGCACCTCATTTTATCACCATGGTAACTCTGGTGTGACTGTGGCAGGAAATGAAACCAAATCTTATCATCACAGGAAACATATTTTAAACTGTCCTTTCAGTGGTGTTATTTAACATAATCCATCAAACCTTATCAATGTTTTTTATTTATCATGTCCTCGCTTTAGCAAATAAACTATAGATACCTAATAAAACGGAATTAAAATGGAAGAGGGAAAATGATTAACACCAGCGCAGGTGGTTCCATAATGTAAAAAGCATACAATACACAATAAACTCTTAAGACTTAAGTCCCAAAGCTTTGTAGGTTCAACTGACCCTGGATCAGATGAAAGAAAATAACTATGGTGATCACCAGGAAACGTGTTAGGAACAAACTGTGGAAGCAGGAGGAGGCTAAAATACAGCAAAAAGAATAGTCTCCACAAATGTTTCCATGATTCATTTACCCTGCACAGGACTCTGACTCACCAAATGGAAACCACACACACACACACACACACACACACACACACACACACACACACACACACACACACACACACACACACACACACACACACACACACTAGTTGGGTGGCGGATGTAGTCCAAACCATGCCTTTCTCCAGACTATGGCACAACTCCTGCGTGTTTTTTCTCCATGTGTATAGATTAGCATATTAACGCTCGAATGTGCGGTTGCGTGAATAAAATAGCATTTAATGGCTGCAGCTCGGTTAGGGTTCACGAACGTGTGGCTGAAATAATTAGGACGGTCTTTTATTAAAGCAGGCAGCAGCGATGTGGCGTGGGTGTTGGTGGTTTAATATTTAATATTCATAACGGGTGGAATGTTAGCATAAACAAACCTAAACCGCGAAGCAAGAGGAGGCGGCGCCGCGTGCTGACAAACGCGCGCGCGCACACGAGCAGAAAAACGGAGGTTCTTACCCAGAAGATGAAGTTGCAGAAAAACAGGAGGTACTTGATGCATTTGGTGCAACCTTCGACTCCCATGGCGATTTACTGAAGTGAGTATTCGAAGAAGAGTTCACAGACGGCTGTAAAACAGGCAATTAACGGACTCCAGCTCAAGTGGAAATCCCAGGATGGGGGCCGGGGCTTGTGAGACGAGGCAACACCCAACTCCTCCTTCAGATCTGGGGCTTGTCCAGGGTATGGCAGGCTGTAGCGACATATAATCACAGCGCAAAAAAACAAACTCCAAATCTGGGGCTCCGTCCAGTTTATGGCAGGCTGAAGTGACATATAATCACAGCACAAAAAAACAAACTCCAAATCTGGGGCTTGTCCAGTGTATGGCAGGCTGTAGCGACATATAATCACAGCACAAAAAAACAAACTCCAAATCTGGGGCTCCGTCCAGTTTATGGCAGGCTGAAGTGACATATAATCAGAGCATAGACCTAATTTTGGGGGGGGGGGGCACTTTTTCCAAAGTCAAGTTTTTACCATCCAAAAACAATATTATAGGAAATTGTCACTGGTTGAGCTGTAGAACTAAGTGGAAAACAACCTTTTGTGTTGAAGCCCATTAGAGCATACTGTAAAAATACCCCTCCCCCCCAAGAGAAAATTACGTCGATGGCATGGACGTAATTTGGGGGGGGGGGGGGGACATGCCCCCCCCACTTTTTCCAAAGTCAAGTTTTGACCCCTGCACTTTTCACCATCCAAAAACAATAGTACACTATATTAAATTGACACTGGTTGAGCTCTAGGACGAAGCCGTTGCCCATTAGAGCATACTGTAAAGATACAGTATGCTCTAATGGGCAACACGATGTACCTACGTGTTTTAAAAAGGCAAGTTCTAAACGTTTCATCGTTAGTTACCCGCGCTTAGTGTGTGTCGTTGTGTTTTAACCGAGTTTTTACCACTTCGAACTGATATAATCACAGAACAGGTGAGGAGGCTGGGGGGGATGGGGCCAAAAAACAATAAGACAAACTTTTCTTTTAAGGTTGAATTACAATTGTGTTTTCAATACCTAAAAATGGTTAAACCATTTTATTCTATGATCCAATCTGGTATTATTTAAGTAGCGAAAATGCTAATAGCATTTATGCTAGTTAAATATTGATAAGATTAAAAAAATTAACTTGTTTTAATCACTCCACGTGATGTTGCATGCTGCTTTTTGTCTCGTTCAAAGCTGTTGGTACTTAGATCGTTCAGGTTAGTCTTTATTTAGCTTTCATTGACTGTATGTGACCATGCATCTGTCAGTCATAACACAAGTGTGTCTTGTGGTTCATCGTAAAGTGTTTATATCATAATCTGGTTGTTAAACAATTGTCTAACAAGCTCCGGGCACAATGGATGCAGAGAGGCAGGGATTCAGGGCTGCACTGGTGGGTGAATTTTGGGAGTAGTAGCCCAAAGATGCATTTTTGTTATGCATGACTTATTGACTGTCTCAGTCAAATATAACAGTTGTTTCATGAAACAGGATGTAAACAAGTTTCTGTGCACAGCTCTGGAGATGACATCAACAGCGATTCGCGTAGTCAACCCAGGAGCTCCCCTGAATCTCCAGCAAGCGGTACTCCTGGCCACCAAGGAGTCTCGCCTTTATAGGGACAAAAAACTGTGGTTTCCTGTGCCCCATCCAGAGCTGTTGTACCAGGTCACTGCCCTCGAGTGTGCAGAGAAGCTCCTCAGAGCCGACGGCGTCTCTTCACCAACACGACCGCAGCGTCTGGGGAAGCTGGTGTTGCCATTCGGCCAGTATCAGAACGCCCCCTTCCACTGGCTCGTTGAAAATCATGTCGGCTACATGAAGTAGTAAGTAGATGTGATCAAACAGGAGAATTGCATGCCCTGATGTTATTTTTATTTATTAAAATTTGTTGACAATTAACAATGCTTGTAATTATTCTTTACAATCAGAGCACCCTTGACAAGCACCGAGTAGAAATGGCCAACCCCCAAAAGAAAGGAGAAGCCATGAACCAGTGGTTGAAAGACTTTCTGACCGAGTACGCAGAAAGCTTCTCTCAAGTGTCCAACATGCTAGAGGCCAACATCGATCGCTGCATCTACGGTCAGACGGGGTTTGAGCATCACACCTTTGAGGAGATGTGGGACCTCTACAGCAGCTTCTCCATCCAGAAACGGGAAGCGGAGCGTTTCACTCAGGAGCAGACGGTGAAGATCCAGAGAGCTCACATGTCTGTGACGAGATGGCTGAACACTCCGGTGACCCGCATCTCAAGTGTGCAGATGAAGAGGTTCAGGAAATATATCTGTGACAAGAAGCAAGTGAGTGTTGTGATGAAAGCCGCCATAAATGTTGGACAAGAAGAAGTCATTTAACAAATCTTTAATTGATGCTTTTCCTGTTTCCTCAGCAGGAAGAATCAACGTATGAAACAACGATTTGAAAATAAATGTCATTTTCTCCCATCTGTCCCACAGGTACGCCACATCTGTGACGTGTCCAGCTGGTGCACAATGCTGACTGAGGTGCTGTGCTGCGGGCCGTGCACCAAGGCTGCAAGAGCTGGAGAAGGCGGCACCGTGGGACGGTGGCTTGCGTGGGACCCTGCTATTTTGTCCCAGCTTAGCGAGGCTCACCAAGCTGCATTAACTGCCGTGCTCACGGCCAAGTGAGTGTGGTCTCCATCTGTTTGTCTTTGTCGTATGTTTTATCTGAAAGGAAACTAAAGTCAGCTGAAGTCATCTAAATCCAATCTTTTTCCTGTCTCTGCTGGTGTGCTCCAGGGCTCTGTCCTGGGGCCCCTTCTTTTCATCATTTACCTTCTCCCACTAGGTCACATTTTCCGTAAACACGACATTGAGTTTCATTTTTACGTGGATGACACTCAGCTCTACCTCTCAACTAAACCCTCAGCTTCACTCCCACCTTCCTCCCTTACCCTCTGTCTCCCAGAAATCCATTCTTGGTTCACTTCCAACTTCCTCAAACTGAACAATTCTAAAACTGAAGTCCTCCTGGTAGGCACACCTCACGTTCTCTCTACATCTAACAGTTTCCCCATCTCTATTGATAACTCAGCAGTTACTCCCTCCCCTCATGTTTAGAGTCTGGGCGTCATCCTCGACAGCACACTTTCTTTTCAATCTCACATCAACAATATTACCCGGTCTGCTTATTTTCACTTGTGTAACATCTCCCGCCTCCGTCCATCACTTACTCCCTCCACCACTGCCCTCCTCGTCCACAGCCTCGTCACATCCAGGATCGATTATTGCAGCTTACTTCTCTTTGGTCTTCCCAGCAAATCCCTCCATAAACTGCAGCTTCTCCAGAATGCTGCAGCACGTGTCACCACTAGGACTCCATCATCTCATCACATCACCCCCGTCCTGCAACAACTTCATTGGCTGCCCATTAAGCAGAGAATCGGTTTCAAAATTCTGCTCATCACATTCGAAGCTCTCCATATCCTGGCTCCATCCTACATGTCTGATCTCGGTCACATCATCACTCCGTTCCTCTACTGCTCCTCAACTCTCGGCTCCCTCCGCTCCCCTCGTCGCCGTGGGGAGTAGAGCATTCAGCCGCTCTGCTCCCCACCTCTGGAATTCTCTTCCCCCCGATCTACACACCACTCACTCTCTCGCACTTTTTAAATTACAACTTAAAACCCACCTCTTCAAACAGGCTTTTAACACATCGTTTTAACACATCGTTTTCAATTTTACCATCCTAGTGTTTTTACATATTTCTGTACTTGTTTATCTTGTTTTATTGTTTTTCCCCATTGTTGTAAAGTGTTCTTGGTGGTCTTGAAAGGCGCTGTCAAATAAAATGTAGTATTAAACATTTTTACTCTGATAAAACGTGGTGCGGCTTTTACGTGACAGGACCGAGGGCAACACCATGGTCAAGGTGTGGAGACAGGTCCAAGAGAACCACGTGGATGAGCATCTTCACCATAAAGACCTGTACATCACACTCTTGATGACGTTAGCGAAGCCTGGTGGGATAGCTTCTGCTTTCCGTCGCAAGTTTGAGCCGCCACCCCCTCCCAGAGAGCTGCCCTCAGCACGGCTCCTTCGCCACGCCTTTCTCCTGGCAGAGGCCCAGGATGTGCAGGACTACAGGGCTCAGATCCTGTCAACATCTGGAACGGTGTTGAAAATGGACTCGACCAAGAAGGTAAGTTATTTAAACAATAAAAACCATCTTTTGATGATTTAGAAGCGAAACAAACAGGCTCGATGGCCTCGATAAAGCACAAATACCCCACCTGCGTACTACAAATGTGCCTTCGGAGACATCCTGCCATGTGCAAATCTTGGATTTTCTGTCACTGTTTTAACGCCTTTTATTTCTGACTTGTTTGGATTCCATCATAATGTCCAAAGTTTATTTCATTTAACCTGATTGTGTATATTTATTTTTTAGGTGGTGAAGAAGCTGTCAGGTGAAGGTAAGGCTCTGCAGAGTGGTTCACCAGCATTGGCAATGAGCTCTCGCAGATTCTTACCTTTGTGCTCACCTGTGAGGAGTCAAAGGAAGCGCCGGAACCAATGTGCAGCGGCCTGATTAGGAGGTTTCAGCTGGCCAATCAACCCGTGCCCAAAATCATGTACGCTGACCGCGGCTGTTGCAGGGAGCGCGGTCCGACGGCAGTCGAGACCTTGTTCTGGCCCCGGGTGGACGGTGGGATGGTTGTTCGTCTGGACATCTTTCTCTGGATCCACCGCTTTGTTGCAGCTCTACGCACAGAGTCGCATTCAGTGTTCAAGTCTGCACTGGCTGGTGCAGTGCTGGTCTACAACCGTGCAGATCTGGACCTCCTCATCAGGGCAGTCAGAGTCAAAGACAGCGCATCAACGAGCTCACTGACGGATGAGGACGTTGTGCGCCTTTTCATTTCCAAGGATCAAATGGAGCATCACGTGCGGAGGGTCTGTCTGGGGGCTCAGGAGACTTTCAGGCTCATCCAGCGTGTTGTCGAGGAACTGAAGGGTCCTGCTGGGCTGATGAGAGCGGAGTCAGCCTCTTCAAGTCACCTGGTACGAAAAACCTCACACGACTGTTATTAAAACAGACACCGTTGCCTTTCAAAATGAACCGAATGCCTTTTATTCTCTGGCTTGTTTACAGCTGCGATCGATGAGATGTGGGCAGCACAGCAGCGGCACTTGGAGTGCATCCAGGACCCGCCGGGCGTGGATCTGCCCTACTATAAAGGCCTAGAAGGGTTCCACGTAGTCCTGCCGTTCGTGATTCCAGGTATCAGCCCGTGCTTGGCGGTCCGTTTATGAAGTAGCAAATAGATTATACTGTTCCAGACATCTAATGATGTTCTTTTAATTATTCAGGTCCGCACTGTGCAGCAAGGCCCTATCAGGTTTACCTGATCAGCGGCATTGCTCGCTGGGACTCAGACCGCCGATCTGACGCCGTGTTTGGAGGGAGAGGGCGGCGGCCCAGGACCTACTCCGCACCGCTCATCAACCGCCTCAACACCCGCTGTCAGGAGTTGTTCGATGAGCCCGAGGACCAGAACTTTCTGCATCCAGCCGACGTCCGCTCTGATGAGCTTCTGGGTCTGGAGAACCCGTTTAGGCAGGGCGCCTTTTCCCTTCAGGACACTGATCAGGATGGTCCAGAACCTGATGAAGAGGTGCTTCAGCCTGGACAGCCAGAACAGGAAGAGACCGACGAGGCTTACCACAGCGATGCAGAGGACGGAGCCCTGGATGCTGACCTGCCCCACATCGCTCTCACCAACGATGAGACGGCGACTGTGCACCACCCAGCTTTTGTAAGCACTTCATTCATTTAACGGATTTTGTTCACTTTTGGATATTTAGTGGTTTATTTGAATGAAAATGTGTTTTTCCACAGGACGACGTCTGCAGTGCAAACCCCCTCCCTGGCTTCCAGCAGCTGGAAAGGTTCTGCTCTGTTCTTGTGGACGTTGGGCTGACGGAGAACAAGCTCTCTGTCACCACTGAGGAAAGGGATGACATCCTCAAAGCCTGGAATGCTGTGGAGGAGCACGACAAGCAGCCGCAGCCGTTCACTCAGCTGTACAGGAGTCACTGGGGAAGCTCTTAGTACTGCAGGACAAAGAGGGACGACCTGGTTGAAGCTGCTGTGGTGCAGAAACTAAAGATGGCTAAACGCTACACACCAGCACACAAGATCAGCGCTCAGCACAACAGACTGATGTACACGCTTGTGAAGATGCTGTGGCTGCGTTTGCCCCACGGGTCAAAGAAAAGCCCAGGGAAGACGGCCATCCTGAAGGCGTACGAGCGGGTGCAGCACCGGATTCTGGTAGAGGACCCTGTTCTGAGCAGAGTGGGCATTCCTCTACCAAAGATCAATTCAAAAACGGTGCGTGAATTCATATCGCATCAAGAGAGACTCGTCAGCTTCCACTCCACCAGACAGCCAGCCACCGTCACCAAGCTGACTTCCATCTCAGCGGCTGACATTCCTCCGGCGCCTCCTCAGCCTGCCGTCCTCCCTCCGCCGAGTTACCCTGTGATGGACTATAAATTCACAGAGAGCACAGCAGGGACCAAGGTTTTCAAGAAGAGGACGGACCTTGCGATGCTAGTCTCTCGGCCTGCTGCTCCTCAGCCACAGCTTCAGCCGCAGGTGCCACCTCAGTCTCTGCTACAGCCTAGAAAACAGACTCCTGAGCTGTGAAACGGTTGTAGCCTCTTCCACCTCTACGCCATCTGAAACCCCTTGGCACACAGTCAGGCCCATTGTGCCTAAGGCGGTCTCTGTTCAGTCCAGCTCCAGCCCTGGGTCCTTCCAGCCTTCTGCCAGTCCGGTGTTTCCTGAGGCCACTGCTACCTCGTCTCCATCCCCATCATGGTCCAGGGCCACGCTTTACAAGCGTAAACAGGAGCTTTCCTTCTTGGGGGAGGGAAAGGAATCCAGGGTGCAAAACAACCCTGTGTGCACGATCGGTGGACAGGTGACCCAGGGACACAAAAAATACAAAAGGAAGAGCTTCTGTCCTGTAAAAAGGGTCTCAGAGGCATTTTATTTGAAAGTTTTGAGGAGTTTATGTTGGCTGTCGACTCCAAAGGCGATACCGCTGCTGTTTAGTTTCTCTGTTGTACTTGGTACAGTTAGCTCTGCAGAGCCGGTTGGAGCTTGCTTGGTTTGCTCAGACGCAGATGTACTGCACCTGTCGCTTTATTTAAATGTTTTTTACTGTCAAAGCTTGTGTCTGGTTTGTTTTCTTTGCACTAACCAATGCCGTTTGTCAGCTCTAACATTTTAGCATTTTTTACACATTTATTTTGCAATAACTGATGCTGATGTTTATCAGCTGTACTGTTATTTTGTATTTTTAACACCATTAAAGCTTGTGACAATAATTTTGATGTTTAGTTATTTCCCATTTCCAATTTAATAAAATATTTGTTACAGTAAAGCGAACGCCCTGACGTGTCCTGAATTGTCATCTACACATCTTGGACTGCTCGAATTTATAAGATTTTATGAGCTGGAGAGTTTCTGAGCACAGTGTTTTGAGTGTGAGCATTTAAAATCCAATAATTGCTCTAGAAATTTACAAACTTTGAATGAAAAGCAGAATATTAATCCCACATCTGAAGAAAGTTGTAAATTTGTAAAACACCAAGGACTGTTTTTAAATAAACAACTAATTAACAATAAACAAATCCACATGTAATAATAACATACCAGGTAAGAGTAATGGATTTTTTGGGCCACCAGACAAAATAAAAACAAAACAAATGCTTTTGCTTCATGATTTTATTCAAGATTTAACTGAAATTAAGCACAAAATATTGCTCAATATTACACAACACATCAACTGACGGCAAGTTTTGCCCCAGGACCCCAGAAATTCATGAAATGTAGAATCAATGGGGGGGAAGTATATAAATGGTGGACTGCAAACATTGAAGGGCACGCCCACAGCACACACACACACGCCCACAGCACACACACACAGATGGCGGTTGGCATTTTTTCAACTAATTTCAGTTCATTTTTCACCAGTAGCTGTTCATCAAGCACAGTCCTGAATCCATTAAGAAAGTCAGTCATTGCCTCATATTCACTTTTTTTCCAGTTTCAGTAGACATGATTTCCCATCATGCACTTTTACAGTCGAATCACAGGCAACGCCCACAGCACACATGCACTCTACATTATGGTGGGCTTATTTTCATCTTTCTACTGCAGCTGCTCATCACTTACAATCTCCTGTCAATCAAGAATAGAGCATACAATGTCTCATATTTTCTGCTTTGTGTGTCCAAATTTTACCCATCATGCACCTACATAGTCAATTTGGCAAATGTGGACTCATCCAACCATCGTTCAGGGAAATTGCACTACTGACCACCTCACCCCCATTTGGCAGGGTCAAAATCCAGGAGTCAGAGGTGTGCAAAGGTATCCAGATGGGGCGAGGCAAGAGGGGAGATCCAAGGAGCAAAAACGTGATCAGGAACAAGGAGTCAGGCTTGAGAGACGGAGTTCTTCTTTTGGTGTTTTAATGGCGGTTGGCAAACAACGAATGGTGCATCACCGCCACCAACTAGTGTGGAGTGTGGTCTGGAACAGCGCTCACAAAACCAAACCAAACAGGGAGAAAAATAAATAAAACTCAAAGTCTCCCAAACACCATTATCTCTTTCAAAAACCAAAATAAAATCTGAAAACAGTCACTTTTTGAATTCTGTCTCAGTAAATCAACAAGATCCAGTTTCACTTTCATCCGACCAAGAGTGTGAACCATTGTCCTTCTTTCCGCCCGATATTTCTGACATTGTAATAAAACATGATCTATAGTTTCTTCTTCTCCACAATAATCACATTTCCCTGTATCATGTTTCCCTATCATGAATAAAGTATTGTTTAACCCAGTATGTCCAAACCTTAGCCTAGCAATGATCACCTCCTCTCTCCTACTCCTTCCAGTGTTCCTCATTTCTCCCACTCTTCTTTGAATTCTATACAACCATCTTCTCCTCCTTTCCTCCTCCCATTGTTTTTGCCATTTCTTCTTCATTTCTTGCCTTATTATGCTCTTGATCTCTTTTTGACTAAAGTGAACATCTAACTGAACCAAAGCATTTATCATTGCTTCCTTAGCCAACTTATCGACTCCTTCATCACCTCTGATTCCACAATGAGCTGGAATCCATAAAAATGTATTACAAGTCCCATCATGCTTATCCTATAAAGTGTTAGCTGAACCTCTAGGAGTATGTCTGGTCTGCTTTCTGAATGGCTGCACTGTAAACTGGTTAATGATGAGCTGGAGTCTGAACAAATAACAGAGAATAATGGTCTGTTTTCTTCCACCCATGGACCCGCTAACAGTATCGCGAGCATTTCTGCTGTGTATACTCAGGCAGGAAGTTGGGGGTTGGCTTGGGTATATATAGCAGGTGAAACAGGTGAGTAGCATGAGCTTGATTACTGGGAGCAGGTGTGGCAGATGAGTCTAAGGAGAGCATGCTGTGGTTGTCATGGAGATGAGGGTGGACAGAGCTGGATCATGACAGATCTGCACATGTTTAACTGCTTGGAGAGGTCGTTCGTGTAAAAATTAAACAGTACAGGTGCTAAAATGCTTCCTTGCCTGACTCCATTACAGACTTGAAAAGGTGCAGATATACAGTTGGCCCACCTGACCTGCATGATCTGGTTAGCATACCAGAAAGACAAACGTCTAATGATGTATTTAGGAACACCAGCTACACAGTTTCCTATGATTAATCCGATCAAAAGCCTTCGAGGCATCAAGGAAACACAAGAAAACAGTTGAGATTTTGCTGATATAAACACATTCCTTTAAGGCATATTTGCACACATCAGTGCCATGTTTAGGCTTCAACCCAAACTGGTTGTCAGTAGATAATACTAATGTGTCTATCCTCACCAGGAGCATTTGTTCAAGTAATTTAGACAGTATCCTAGCAAGAGCAATAGGTCTGTAATCATCAGAACAACCCACTTTTCCTGTTTTGTTCTTCACAACAGGGACTAGAAGAACCTTCATCATGGAGTCTGGAATGAAACCATGTACAACAAAGTCTCAGACTTGCATATGTAGCGTTATGAATATGCCATTTCTGCCCTTAACAGCTGCCCTTTAACACAGTGACATTGTGCATAAATTGCTAAGGTTGTGTGCTTGCTTCTGATGTTTACACTCCAGCAAAGAAGACAGAAGAAGGACGAAGAACGCTTTTAATTAGTTAATCAAAGAACTTTATTTCTAATAAAGCTAATCAAAACAACTGTTGGTCAATAATAATCAGGTGACTGATCTGTGAAATCACAATAATATGATTTATGTGTTTAATGAATCACTGGACTAACTGAGCTAGACATCCTGATCCACATAAGGTAAACACATGACACGTTGTTCACTCATCCAATCAGAACTTCCTTTCTGATGCGTGGCAGAGCTCTGTGGTGTTTAGTTAATCTGTCCACTCCGATTGGCTAAGATTCATAAACAACTAAGCTTAATAAAACATAACGACACCATTTTAACTCAGTTCCACCGCTGTTCCAACCAGCTCTCAAATCCATCTGATGTCCATCATCGCTAAGTGAAGTACAGACTGGCCAGCTGTATTTTCTACTTTTAAGCTGAGAACTGTCAAGCTGGAAAATTTTGTCGTTTTACCAACAAGACGACGGTTCCTTCAGAATAAAAGCTGAACTCTCTACGTGACGTTGACATCTGCCGTTGTACCGGGAGACGTTCCTCAGACTGGTTTGTCGAGCTGCGACGCTGTTTCACCGGCTCCAGCACCAAAGGAGGGTCGAGGACCTGGCATCCGGATCTTACACGGGGGTCTCCGAAACGGTACGTAGATCGGCATAGATGGCGTCTCATGTCTTCCTCCTGAAATCCATCGTCATTAGTTAAACAAAACAACATCTTGCCCTCAGACTCGCCTCGGTCAGACGGAGATTCTGAACTGACACACACACACCAACACTTCAGCTCCCATTCATCTGCATCCATCATTAGAGAGTTAGTCCTGGTGATTGTTTCGAATAATTATAAAATAAATATTCTTAAACGTCCCATCTCT